GGGTTGGAACTGGATGAGCTTTAAGGTCCTTTCCAACACAAACCAGTCTGGGATTCATGAAACTATGATAAAGACAGGTTTTAGCACAATGGCTCAAACTCAACCCTGCCTACAGTGAAGCAGCTGTTCAGACAACCCCCAGTCTTCTCTCCTCATTGTCATCTTGCTTCCCAAAAATGAATCCATATCAAAAGCTGAGTTAAAAAAGTCAATTGCAAGTGTCTTTACTCATTACACTTTCTGTCAGGTGGCACTGTAGAAAGGAACAAGGCTCTCCTTTTAGCTTTGCTACAGTTTCATTGCCTTTAAAGATGACACTTCTTACCTCTGCTACTCCAGTACAGCCTCAGAGCATAGCAAAATCATACTTCAAGTAGGAAACCTTCCCCATTCAAAGACAGGCACACCATGGGAGTCAGATATTCCCAAAGAACAGGCTCTTTCAATCATTCTTTCTTTTGGCTAGCAAGTTCAGTGTTAGAAAACAACAGAAAAGCAGCATTCTGTTTCACATTATACATAGCAAATTGTATCAGCCTTTCAGCATAGAGTCCAACTCCAGTCTGAATCCCAGAATGTGAAATGCCACCTTAAAATTCCCAGAAAAAGGAAGGAGCTTTGAAGTGGGAAGATCAGAAAACATTAATGAAAACGCCTCCAGGTAAATGCACACTCCTTATCACAAAGCACCCACAACTTACCTAAATAAGTGATGTTCTCAGCTAGTTCACAGCCACTGACATCTGGGAAATACCTCACAGTCTCCTGGTCGTTAGCACCAAGCACATAGGTTGGAATTGGAGCTGAGGAAAAAAACCACATACGCTCAGTTAGCACAAGTTCAGTCCACATTTACGAGGAGTCCCAGCAGGTCTCATCCATTTGGACCCTAACACCACTCCTCTGCAGCGTGCCAAGCAGCAGTAAGTACAGAACAAGAAACCTTCCTTCAAAGTAAGTCCCTAAGCCTGCTGTTTGCACAGATGCAGATAGCATCAGCAGAGAATAACTTCTAACTACAACTCACTTCACTGCCTACACAAGAAGGTCAGGTCCAAAATGATCCATAGGCCTGAAAACATAGGTTTTCCCTAGTAAGTAAATACCAGAGCACAGGGATACCTGGTGAGTTAGTTTAAGCTGATCTAAATTCATATGGATATCAAAAAATTGCAAACCATTGATGTTTTAGGAGAAAACTCCAAGTTCATCAGTCCTTGGATTCACTTGTTAGAAGAACTTGCTGCATGACTTCACCTAGACCTGGTGGACAGAACTAACAAGAGAAAAAAAGTAATGGAAAGTACCAGGTTTAATTTCTCTACGGCTTTAATTTCTCCAAACAACACAAGTCAAATCTCTTAACGATTTTAAAAGTTAGAAAAAACAACAACTGATGTCAGAAGCACCTCCTGTAGATTTCCTGGCACATCAATACACCAGTAAGCTGGTCAACAGCTCTCCTGGTCAGCAGGTCCTAAATTTTTCACTGAATGAAAACCAGCACCAGTTCTCTGCTTAAGGAGGGAGCAGCAATACAGCAGCTCTGCTACAGCTGTTGTTAGGCTGTTGCTTGAAATTCCATCTCCCAAAGTTAGAAGATACAATTGCAGAGCAGAGCTTGAAAACTTTCTGAATGGCTTAAAAGCAAAACGAAGTGACATGAACCTTGCTTCTATCTATATGTATATAGGTGAAGTTATAAGCTACAGATGTTTTCAGCAGTTCAAAGGGTAAAGACAACCCAAGATGAGGAAAAATGCATCGGTCCAGGGAAAAGACTTTGCTGTTAACACTCACTCTTCTCCCTGTGTGCACTGGGGAGCTTCCTCAGGGAGCGAAGTCTAAACCAGTAATAATTCTTCTTATACTCTCATAGCAACGGGAACACAAGGCAGCACACCCTGCCAGGGTAAGCAGCAAACAGGACAATCTTTATGCAGATGGCTCACACAGACAAGCAGGGGATAACTGGGGAGGGATGCAGCAGCAGAGAGGAAGTGGAAAGCAGGAGTCCCAGCTCCTTACTGGTTTGCCTCATGCCAGCAGCAAGAGCCAGAGTAGCACTGAAGAGGAAAGAGGAACACTACAAATGCTCATGAGGTAGCATCTCCCTTACAAAAGGGGTGTGGGAAGAAGCAGAGAACTCCACATAGGACCTTTCCTATTCATGGCCATTCATTCACATCCATGTTGGAGAAACCATCTCCAACACAAGGGCTGCAGGAACTGAGGAGGAATGGACAAACCCTGCTCCTCTGGAAAATCTTGTGATCTCCATGGCTGAAGAACAGAGACACTGACACCACCAGCACCTCTGCTTTCCCCTTTTCTCCTTGGGACTGAGTGCAGGGAGGGTAAGAACAGCACTGCTTTAACGTGACAGGTTTAACTGCAAGTTCTGACTTCAAAAGCACACTGAGATGAGACAGCGAAGTGGGTCACAAAGCAGTGCCATCACCAGCACCCGGAGTGAGGAGCCTTCCTTACCTTTCTTGGCGCCTGTGCAATACTCTGCCCATTCTGCCTCGGAAGTAGAGCCAAAAAAATTCCCAACACACAAAAGCATCTAAAAACATCAAATAAAGCAAGAGTTGCCATTTGAGCAGACACGACACATACAACATTTCTGCTGGTGTGCTGTGTTGTCAGAACACTGCCATGCATCACCCGAACAGCATTTTGCTTGGTGTGTTAAAGAGGTTCCTCCACATTTAACTGCACTGAGTATTAAACCCGTAACAGCAACATGAATAGTGGGACAGCTGCTCTTCCACACCCTTCTGCCCACAGATCACAGCTCCTCAGCGCTGGACAAGGAGGGCTGAGAGTGTGCTGAGCCCCTTCCACCGCCAGAAAGGGAAGGATCCAGCAACGGGAGAGGACCTGGAGGACCAGCCCCTGACAAGGGAGGGTCTCAGTGCTCGCCCGGTCCCAAGGTCACCATGCCCAGGAGATGCCATGGGCAGGGACCACCGAGCCCTGAGGGTCACCATCCACAGGGAGCCACCAGATCCTGGGGAATGCTGAGCCCATGGGCCACCGTCCCCAAGGGGCCACCAGATGCAGTGGGGATGTAGCAACAGGACAAGGGAGAATGGCTGACAAGGGAGGGTCTCAGTGCTCGCCCGGTCCCAAGGTCACCATGCCCAGGAGATGCCATGGGCAGGGACCACCGAGCCCTGAGGGTCACCATCCACAGGGAGCCACCAGATCCTGGGGAATGCTGAGCCCATGGGCCACCGTCCCCAAGGGGCCACCAGATGCAGTGGGGATGTAGCAACAGGACAAGGGAGAATGGTTTAATTCTTGCCTGTGCACGGCGGTGCTGATGGCAAGAAGCGTGCCCTGTGGGATTGGGGTCTGAAGTCCCGCAGGACATGGAATGATTTGGGGTGGACAGAAAGGGACGAGCGCGGCTCCGGACACCAACACCCG